TGAGGTCCAACTCCAGGCCTGGAAAAGAGCATACAAGCTCTGAGTCAGTTGATGCAGGAAGGAACTTTAAACTACTAGGAGTTCCTTTTGCAGACAAATGAACTGAGGTCCCAAAAGGAAAATAGAGCCTGAGACGCATGGAAATCCCTCGGGGCAGGTACCTACGTGAAAGCTGGGTTTTACTCTTCCTGGTGCACTGTTCTTGCCACTCAACAAACATTATTTCAACAAATATTTATTAAACACCATCACGTTAAGCCAATAAAACAAACCTACAGTCTCTGCCCTCAGGAAAAGTAAGGACACAAACGGTCACCTTCGAAATGAAAGTCATGGAGGTAACTTGTGCCTTCAGATAAAAGTGATCTGCACTTTCAGATGTTAATAATCCGTCTGGTTGAGTTGGCCATGGCTTTATAGTTGTGTCAGATAAGGATGTTAGAAGTTGGAATGTGTGTGCGGGTTTTCTTTCACTCAGCTAAAGGATTTTAGCTTACATAAAGCAATTGTTTGCTAAGGAATTATAAGCCACCCCTCCTCTTTTTCTTTTCAGACAATTGACATTGTCTACTTCAAGGCATTGATGATGTCATCTCAGACTCTTTTGGGGGCCAAAGTTTCACTTTTAACAAGATATTCCCTGCTGCATCGCCCTAGGAAGTTGAGACCTTGTCCCCACGTCTATTTTCAGGAAGCTGGCTGGCTCAGAGATTTAAGAGTATTTGGCTTTTAGCAGCTGGGGAGAAGGGGGGCAGGTTCTATGTGCTCCCACACCAGGAACACCACCGAATCCTGGGCTCTAACTTGAAGGGACTTTGCTAATAGCACCGATATAATATCTGCCCTGTGCTCTGTTGGAATCCTTCTCGAGTCCTTGGTGTTGATGGCAGGTGGTGTGGCTTCAAAGGTGGTCAAATTAACTTGTTAACAGATATGTGGATGAAGAACGTCAACACTTTATTGGGACACTGACATGGAAAGATTTACAAGAAATCTGAAGTGAAATAAAGCAAATTCGTATTTCATAGGAACCCAATGTATGTAAAAGTATGTGTATCTATGTGGAAAAATGTCATGGGAAAAGAACTTCTTTGGCAAAGAAGAAACCGCATTGGTGCAGTGGCTAAACACTTGGCTGCTGGAAGATTGGTAGTTCAAATTCACCCCGCGGATCTCTGGGGAAAAGATATGCTGATCCACTCGTGTAAAGATTTTAGCCCAGACAACTCTGAGGGTGCAAGTCTTTTGTCACATGAGGTCACCATGAGTCGAATCGACCCCCTGGCACCTAACAACAGTGGTATGGAAATAAACAACAACAAACCCCACTCTGCTATCATCCAGTCTATTTTGACTCATAGTGACCCAGGTGGACAGACAGAATGGTCCCATAGGGTTTCTTAAGCTGCAAATCTTTGCGGAAGCAGATTTGCCACATCTTTTTTTTAAATTTGATTAATTCTTGTAACTTTTTATTTTGCAATTGTAGATGTAAAGGAAATTGCAAAGATGGTACAAAGAGTGTCATGTACTCTTTACCTAGCTTTCCCAAGAGGAAAGATCTTGCATACTAACAGTACAACTTCAAAATGAAAAACTGACCATGGTACAGTAACTATTAACTAGACTATAGAACGTATTCAGTTTCACCAGATTTTACATGCATTCATTGGTGTGTGCATGGCCATGTTATTCTATGCAATTTTAACACAGGTATAGATTTGTGTAATTACATCATGAAACAGAGCCGTTCAATTCCCTTTTATACCAGTTCTTGTGTCTAGCTACCCTCATCTGTTGTTCATTCCTGAAAGGGCTATTTCCACTCATGGGCTATTGCAAAGAAAGCAGTTAGAAACAGTCCGACACAGCTTTCCTTGCTCTGAGATAGATGCGAGGGAGCATAATGACTGGTCACATGTTAAGTGGACGTTTAACTCTAAAAACATTTCCAAATTCTTTTCTAGAGTGCTTGTACTGTTTTACTTTCCCATCAGAGAGATGGGATATATCATTTTGAGAGGTCCAGTTTTTCTGTTCAAAATTCAACAGTATTTGGTATTATCACTATTTTTTTCCCTTTAGCCATTCTGATAGATGTGTAATGACAACACAATGTGATTTTAATTTTCTTTTTCCCTGTCGACTAATGGTATCCAACATTTTTCCATATGCTTACTCCCACTAATAAATCTTCTTCGTTGAAATATCTATTTATGTCTTCTGCCTGATTCCTGACTTTTTTTACTTTGGATTTTAACCATTCTTTGTATTTTCTAGATTGGTCAGATACACAAAACGTTTATATATAAGTTCCTTCAATTTGTAGCTTGTCTTTTCCTTTCCTTCAGTTTTTTTACAGAGCAAAAATTTTTAATTTGGATGGAGTCCAATATGCCAATGTTTTACCTTTGAGGTTCAAGCTTTTTGGGGAAAACGTAAGAATTGATTGCTTGCCTGGATCCTGATGATTTTCTCCAATTGTTTCTAAATGTTTTGATATCTTGCATTTATGCTCACGGTTCATTTTGAGGTACTTTTTGTAAAAACGAGGTGGTTTAGGTTGCAATTCATATCCTTAAGGGGTGGGGGTGCACGGATGCCCACTTGTGGAAAAGGCTACCCTTTCCTCTATTTAATTGCTTTTGCACCTTTGTCAAAATTACTTGGGTCTATTTGTATAGGCCTATTTCTGTGTGTCCATCCTCTGAAAACACAGCCTTCATTACTGTGATTTGCCACATCTTTAGCCCTCAGAGTGATTGGTAGCTTAGAAATGCCAAGCTATTGGTTAGCAGCTGAACGCTCAACCACTGCCTCCCAGGTCCCCTAGGAAAGAGGCATACTGAAAATTAAAAGGACTTCAATCTGGGGCTATATATGTATGTATATCTGAGTATTTTACAGTCATGTATAAATCACTGCATTTTACAATGTAGCTCCTCTTGAGTTTGCGTTGTCAGCATTTATACAAAGGAGCTTTTAAAAGTTTGTGGGAAAATGGAATTAAAAGAAAATGAATTTTTCCATGACCTTTTGAGGCTCTTCATCTGCTCAGTCATTCTGTCCAGCTTGAAATTCTTATTTAACAGCTATCATGTGTCCGCTGTTGCACAGAAGCCCCTGGGATACGGCCTGAATGGCAGTGTCTGCTTTCTAGTTGAGGAGCAGAGAAGACAGGCCAGAAATGGGTGAATGAGAGAAAGAAACTGGGCTGAGGATAGGCTGGAAGCTCTTTTAGGCAGGGCGATCAGGCAAAGCTGCGAGTTGACGTCCATGGTGAGAACCTGAAACATGGTGTGAACTGAAAGGCAAGAATGAGGCAACTCTGAGAAGAAAAAAACCAAAATGCCAGATTCACTGCCATCCAGTCAATGACGACTCACAGCGACCTCCTGTGGGTTTCCAAGGCTACAACTGTTTATGAAAGTACAAAGCTCCTGTGTATGGATTGTGGTAAGAAGTGTACGATCCCCTAATAAAATGATTTTTTTTTAAAGAAGAAAGGACAGAGCGCAGTCTTTCTCCTGCAGACCTGCTTGTAGTTTCAAACTGCTGATCTTGCAAATGGCAGCCCAACACGACACCAACCACACACCACCAGGGCGCCTCACTCTACAAAGGGAAGGGAATATTCCAAACATCAGGAATAGCCACTGAAAAGGCACTGAAACCAGAAAGAACTTGATCTGCTTGTGGTCGTTACATAATCCGTTGTCAATGTAAGACTTACGAGTGAAGGGGTGAGTTTAGCCTGTCAGTCAGGTCATAGTTTGATGACCTTATTTGGTGGTGCTGAAGAAATAAATAGCTCATTGGAAGTGGGACACAAGCTCCCTGTGAGACATTACTGAGGAAGAACCTGATGCAAGCAGAGCCCTGGGAGCT